TCCCACCTCTTCACACCCTCCCTCCTTTGTCCTCTTCAGCTGGACCTGCCCCTATTCAGCCCTTGAGGCTGGCAAGCTTGTGAGCCCGACCGTCCAGCGAAGGGGACCCTCTGATGCTGGGGGAGAAACTCCAACGTGCCTCAAAGCAGATAGGAAGGACTCTTCCATTTTGCCTCTAATGTGGGTGGGTCCTCGGTTTCTCTCTTTGCTACCTCTGGAGAGAAGATGCCCCTGGGGGTTCGTCCCCCAGCTTGGTCTGAGGGGCTGTGCCTGACAATTAACTACCCCCCCCCCCCCCGTTTTCACCACCGAATGAGTGAGGTTTGCACTGAGCTTTTCCCCACATAAAGGAGTGGGAAGGAAGCAGAGCTGCAGCCTCAACCCGGAAGGGAACGGAGTCTGTCAACACACGCACACAAACATACACCTACTGCTTCTTCTTACTTGGCTACCCACATAGCCATTTAGAACAAGACTTACCTTTCAACACATGGAACCTTGTGTGCTGATGGCGCTCTGTGTATGCCCAGAGATATCACAGAACCCTAGAACAGTGGAGTTGGAGGGAGTCCACTGAGTCCAAGGCCCTTCTCAAGGCAGAAACCCAATTACTGTCTTCCTCTCCAGTGCCTCCCGAGTTGGAGGGCTCACCACCTTCAGAGGTCATGGGTTCCAACTCGGTACTTCTCTAAGTGTTGGGAGGTTTTTGTTGATATTCAGTGGAAATCTGACTTCCTGTAACTTGAGTCCCTTGTGGCGTGTTCTGCATTCTGGGCCGATCAAGAACAGATCCTGATCAGAAACCCAATTACTGTCTTCCTCTCCAGTGCCTCCCGAGTTGGAGGGCTCACCACCTTCAGAGGTCATGGGTTCCAACTCGGTACTTCTCTAAGTGTTGGGAGGTTTTTGTTGATATTCAGTGGAAATCTGACTTCCTGTAACTTGAGTCCCTTGTGGCGTGTTCTGCATTCTGGGCTGATCAAGAACAGATCCTGACCTAGCCCATTCTAGAACAGAAAAGCAGCTACTGCTAGGGATTCGTTGTCACCCTAACCATCTCCATCTTTCTCGCTCAGTGGGTCCTTCGGCAACTGTGTACCCCAGAAAGCCTGTGGAGCTGGGGGATCCCAACGTGCTCATCTGCTTCGTGGACAAGTTCTCCCCCCCAGTGCTGAACATCACCTGGCTGAAGAACGGGCAGGTGGTCTCGGAGGGCATGCAGGAGACGGGGTTCCTCTCCAGCGTGGATTACACTTTCCGCAAGTTCTCCTACCTGGCCTTCGTCCCGCAGAAGGGGGACGTCTACGCCTGCCAGGTGGACCACTGGGGCCTCCCGGAGAGCCTGACCCGCCTCTGGTGTAAGCAGGATTGGGTCCTTCTCAGGGCTGAGAAAAGCAAAACTCCCAAGATCTCAACATGGCAGGCCCAGTCACCCCAAATCTTTCAAAAAGAACAGGGAAGGAAACCCGTGATATCTTCTGGCCAAATTCTTTTCTTTCAAAGAGGTTGTGGTGGGGGGAGGGAGGTGCTGGCCTTGTACCACCACCCCCTTTGCTACAGAGCCCTCTTTGGGCTCCTGGAGTGTTTGAGGGGCCAGGCTCCATCAGCCACTGATCTTTCATGAGGATTAGGGCCCCCATGTAACTCCCCTGCCCAAAATCCCACGTCATCATTATCCAAAATGTAGAGCGTCTGGAGACCAATTGCAGTCAATTGAGACATTTCCATTAGATGCATGTTGACTAGGTGAAAAACAGAAAATGCCGACACCGATTTCGTCTCTTACAGCAATTTAGTGGTGAAACCACCAGGATCTTAGCCAGGGTTTAATCTCTGTTTGCACAGCCAGGTTCTGTTTCTATGGGGCCCTTTTTTGTGTTGTCCCAGTTCATGGTGGCTACATGATCAAGTTCATTCTGAAATCTATATAACCTGTGCTTCGGTTTTCTCTTGTTCTTTCCCTTGGTATGTGTTGAATTCTGTGCCGCAATGCACACACTATATGATCTTGTGGCACACTCTTGTCTTGGGTGGAAGACCTGTAGCAGACAAGAGCCTTTGAGTGGCCATTGTCCCACCAAAAACACGGCTGGAGGTACAAACACCCTCACAAACACACACACAGAGCCTGTCCTTACCTCTGGCTCTCCCTTCTTTCCTCTCCAACGCCAGATCCCAGGAAGCCAACCCCCATCCCTGAGATGCCGGAGAACGTGGTGTGCGGCCTGGGCTTGGTCTTTGGTGTTTTGGGCATCGTTGCTGGCCCCGTCCTCTTCTTCAAGGCCAGGAAGATGAAGGAGTCAAACCATCGCAGGGGCACCATGTGAGTCGAAGGCAGTCCTGTTCTGTTTCAGCTCAGCTCTGGAGAGGTTGCTCAAAGGAGCCCCAAAATGTCCGGAAAGGGTTGATGAACCCAGAAACGCTTCCCTTCCACTGAGTTGGAGGGATGGGCTTGAGCGCCACCCAGGCCTGACGATGCTCAAGTCTCAGCCCTACCCTTCGATCCTACAGGGTCAACGCTCAGCCTTCCCTTCAGACCTCACCGGCAAGCCATCCGGGGTGTTTTTCTTCACTAGTAAAATAGCAGGCATGGAGTTGTGTTCACTTCCGGTTGTGCACATGATACAGCCTCTGTGCAATGAATTTGTGCTTCCTTGTGTGTATATTTGTACACGGCTGGGTTTTAGGCACCTTTTTCCCCTTCCTCTTGGGCAAACAAGCAGAAAAGTCTGCACTCCTGAGTCCCAGCTGGATTGGGGCCCCTGTACAGCTGTCTGGCTTCAAGGAGTCAATATTCAGTCATTAGCAATTAGTTCAGGGAACTTGGAAGCCATTTGTGCTCCCAGCCTGGACAATGGGAGTGGAGTAGATGGGGTTCCTTCCCCCTCCTCCCGTGTTGCGATTGGCAGGATTCTCTTAGCAGCCGTACTTTCTCCTATTGGGAGGGATCAAGATTCAGATTTATGTTCAGTTCTGATCTGAGATGGGCAGAATAGGGGCCAATGTATAAGGGGGAGAGAGAAGGATGCACAGACCCTGCACCCCTATATGCCCTGTTTTCCACAGAACCCCAGGTCTTTCTCCAGAATAAATTGCATCAAACAGAGGCCCCGAGGAAGGATTCCCTTGTTTGTCCTTATGGTCTAGAAACATGCGCCCCCCCCCCCCCATATGACCTATTTTCCACAGAATCCCAGGCCTTTCTCAAGAATAAATTGCATCAAACACAGGCCCTGATGAGGGGGTTCCCTTGTTTGTCCTTATGATCCAGAAACATCCTTTAAAATGTTTTCTTTAACTTGGGGCCGGGGGTCATTTTCTAAAGACTTCTAACCACCTCCTTATTTCTTTTTTTCCCAGATAACCAAGGCAGAGCCAGGTCACCTTCTCTCCTGGCCCATCGCTTGCACAACGCCCTGCTTCGAAAGCCCACCCTCTTCCCCAGCTGATCAGATTTCACTTGAAATGTCTGATTTCTCAGTCTTTATTATAGGAGTGTGTGGGAATGACAACCTCTGCTGATTTTCTAATATGGAAGGTTGCAATTTTTAGCATAGACCTCACCGCTGTCCCTCCTACCCTGTGTTCAGGCCCTTTCCGGTCTGTTAACAGGATGAGGTCGGAGAGACCTGGGGGCTGAAAGGTGGCTTCTTAATTCCTTATTAATAATTCATTAATAATTCATTATTTCTTGGCTGAGACCTGGGTTGCTATTGCTGCCAGTGGTGCTTAATCCTGGAAAAGGAAGATTTTCAGGCAGAAATTGGCTCGCTGTTTGCTTCCCTCCCTTTCTCTATTTTTGAGAGACTTTCTACTAACTTTTCTTACACAATTTCTCAATAAAATATGTACAGTCTTTTGCAATTTTCTCCTCTGTTTCAATATGATAATGAATAAAATGGACCTTTTCCGGAATGCGTTTTTGTTCTTACTGTTTTGTTCCAAACCGGCTCGAGGCCTGGATGGTCCCTTCCGTAGGGTCCCTCCTTTCTTGCTCTGCCCTTCCAAGATCCTTTATTTCTTAGGCATTCCAACAGTGAAAGAGGGGGAGCTCTAGGAGGAGGGCGAAGTTGGTGGCGAAAGGCCTGCCTTCCCTGCCCAGACACAGATGACGAAACCAATACTGAGGCTCTGATTGGTTCAACTCCAGGAAAGTCCCCAAACAGAGGAAAAGACACGGAAGGCTGCATCAAGCAAGTTGAACCAAGTGGGGGAAGTCCTTGGGCGCAGACCAGGCTTCACGGAGGGGTGGGTGGGGGTGGGTTGAGGACATGACAAGATAAAGCTATGCCTTCTCCTCTCGGGGCTCCTTGGAGGGGCAAATTATCTCGTTTCCAGGCACCGCCCCCATCTATACCAGGTGGGCAGTTTTTGGAGTAGCAACCCCACCACCACCAACAACCACTTTGCAGCGACCGGGGAACTGAGATACCCCTGGTGGCAGGTGGATTTTCTGGGCAAGGTACACACAAGGTGATGGCCAGGCCAGCCATAGGGGCAGAGACAGTGGGGAGAGGGAAGCCGGGGGCACATGGAACCTCTGCCTCTATACAACGGGAGTCCTTTCTGGTGGTGAAGAAACGTGCTCCTCCTGAGAAGCCCTGGGTGGCCTCCAGAACCAGCAGTGGTGCGTTTCTCTGTCCCCAGCGAAAAGAAAATCCAAGCCGGTGTGTGTGTGTGCTCCTTCCCTTGGAAACATCTGAGCCCCCCCCCCAAAGGGACGCGATCTTTCGGCTCAAGTTGGTCCAATTCTGTGGCTTATAGGCACGCGTTTCAGTGGCAGCCCCTCCATCTCCTTGAGGGATTAGATTTCTATCAGGAGGGGAGGGACGCCCATCCTTCCACTTCATATCAGGGCAGGTGCAGCTCCTGCCTGAGAACCTCCCTCTGTAGATGGCATGGAAGGGGCTGAAAGAGAGAGGCGCTTTGGGGTGGCGGAGGGAACAGAGTCAGGGGCTTGAGTTCCGATTCTGCACACGCACGCACAGTCCCCCCTCCCCCTCCCTTGTTTCTAGCCTTCTGGAGAGGAATAGAGGGGCTCTGGGCTCCTCCTGGATCCCCCTCCCTCTCCCGGAGCCGCCCTCCCTCCCCTTCAGAGGGGACGCCAAGGGTGGTGGTGGGGGGAGCGCTCAGGTTTCGCTTCCCCACGCGCGATCTTCCGCTCAGCGTTCCAAGAAAGGAAAGAGGGAAGCTGGGCTGGATCCAAGCAGCTGCGGGTCGGCAAGAAGCGAACCACCGGCTCCTCCTCGCTCCTTCGGCTCCATCCACCCAGAGACGCACACACACACACCCGCGCACAGAAAACACAAGGGTGAGGCCGCCACGGGGGTTCCTCCAGGAAGGAACCCGTGTGGGTTTCACGTCCTCCAGACCTACCCATGTTTAAGAGCACGGCGGCGTTTACTCCAAAGAAACTCCCGCTGCCTTAAACGGGACAGCGGGAGTTTCGCGAAGGAGGTCGCCTTGATTTCAGCCCCTTGGCTTTCTTAACTGAGACCAAGGGGAGGGAAAACTCGGGTCTTTGTGTTGGATCCTGACCCCGATTTCTGGGTGGGGGCTTCTTAACGCCCACCGCCTCAAAACACCGGTGGAAGCCGGATCGGGGCAGCGCGGGTGAAAGCGCCCCCCCCCGCACGTGCAAATCCTCCCAGGTCTTGTTTGGCTGCGAGAGGAAAACGTGCGTGGGCGCGCCCGCGTGCAGCCCAGGTCCTTTTATCCTCCCCTCCCCCCGTGGGTTGCTTCTTTCATCATCTTCGCTGGCGCTCTGTCCCCACTTTGTTCCTGTCAGGTGCTGTTTGGTCTCTCCGGTTTATGGTGACCCCATGAACGAGCGATCCCCAAAAGCTCTTGTCTTCAACGGCCCTGCTCAGCTGTTGCAGACCCAAGTCTGTGGCTTCTTTTAGGGAGGCAGTCTATCTCGCCCTCCCCCCGTGGGTTGCTTCTTTCATCATCTTCGCTGGCGCTCTGTCCCCACTTTGTTCCTGTCAGGTGCTGTTTGGTCTCTCCGGTTTATGGTGACCCCATGAACGAGCGATCCCCAAAAGCTCTTGTCTTCAACGGCCCTGCTCAGATGTTGCAGACCCAAGCCTGTGGCTTCTTTTAGGGAGGCAGTCCATCTCGTATTTGGGCTTCCTCATTTCCTGCCGCCTTCCGCCTTTGCCAACATGATGGTCCATTTCTCCAGAGATTGTTCTGGCTCGCGTTGATCTAGGACTCCCTTGTTTCCGGGGGGCCTCGATCCGACATGGAAGCGGAGGTCATGACAGATGAAAACACAGCAGCGTCACCTTCCACTACCACCAGGAAGGAATCCGTGCGGCCGCTCCCACCCACCCGTTCGCAGCATCTGAGAACTGCAGAGCTGGAAGGGACCCTGTAGATCATCAAGTCCAGCCCCTCTCAGAGTAGGGAATCGGACTCCCAACCTACGAGAGACCTCAGCCACGGAACTACTCTGCTGCTGGGGAGCAGCGGAACAACCAGTTGCTGGAGGAAGGGGGACCCATAGCAATGGTAGCCCCCCTTAATAACCTACAAGCAAAATGTGTGTGTGTTGTGGGGGGGACTGTAAAGAATTCGGCAAAGGGCAGCAAACAATGTCATTTGGAATAAGGCAGTGGTTGCGTTTTGGGAAAAGGGTCTCCATAGGAGGGATGCCTCTTCCTCCCCATCAGGCTGAATGTCCTGACAAGCCTCCCAGAGACCTTGCAGGGAAGCTTACCTCCCCATCAGGCTGAATGTCCTGACAAGTCCCGGCAGAGAAAAAGCCTCCCAGAGACCTTGCAGGGATGCTTGTTTCTGTTGGATGGTCAAGCAATCTAGATGTACATTTCAAAGGGGAAGGGCCTGCATCACAGACTAACCTGTTTGGCTTGCTTGTTTGCATGCTAGCTAATGAGAGGGGTTTGTTGTTCCCGGGCTACACAAGCTCTGCCCCTTGTCACTCCCCTTCCCACCACGCGGTTTGAGAGATTCCATTGTTGTTCACACACATGCACTCCCCTTCCCACCACGCGGTTTGAGAGACTCCATTGTTTTTTCACCTGGGAAGATGCTAGACCTCCAGGCTGGCTCTCTGAACCGAAGACATCCAGCCACACGGGCCGAGAAAGAAAACTGCCTGTTTTAGAAATGGACATTTTATGTGAGTAAAATACAGAAACCATTTTTGATATGCTTCCTAAATTGCTTCCTGAGTATTATTTTCTAAAGTGCTAGGCCTTTGGTGAGGGTGGATAAAGAAGGGGACTCCTTAGCTAATTCTGACCCTCAAGTAGCTGTTCTTCTGCTGTGCATTTCAACAGATTATGTGGCCCTGAAAGTACCTAAACACAGCCAGCTGAAAAAGGAAAAGATTAGCTAAGAAGTATTTTTTTTCGGGCTTTGTTGTTTTCTGAGTGTATCTGCATTTTTGTTTTCCCCCATCCCCCTCAATATACCAAAGCTAGCCGAAGAGATTTTGCTTTTGTTTGCTTACTTGCTGCTTTTGCTCAGAAGGAGGCAGGACTCAGCATGGCAGAAAAGAAGGATTTTCTGGGTAAATTGCCAGTCCTAACCTCAGTTAATTTCGAAAGATGGAAACAAAGATTATTAATGGACTTTGCGGCCATGGAGCTTAATGATTGCTTAAACTCAGACAGACCTGCAGAAAGCAGAGCTAGAATAGAATGGGAAAAGAAAGATACAATTGCAAAAGCAGTAATTTACCACAACTTAACTGACCAAGAAAGCAGAGCTAGAATAGAATGGGAAAAGGAAGATACAACTGCAAAAGCAGTAATTTATCACAACTTAACTGACCAGCAACTAGTCTATGTTAAGAATTGCGAGACAGCAAAACAAATGATTAAAAAGCTAGAGGAATTTTTTGGGGTTGCATGCCCTCAATCTCAAGCAGCATTGATTAAAGATCTAACAAGAATACAATTAAATAACAAGAAGGATTGTGAAAAGCATGTATCTGAATTTTTAAATATAATAGACCGTCTGAATACAACTGGTTTTCAAATGCATGACAGGATTAAAAAGGGATTTTTGATAGCATCCCTAGGAGAATGTTTTGATGCTTTTGCCTCAATTATAAATGCACAACAATTGTCTTTTGAAGCCAGCGTTAAAGCTCTGAGAGATCAATGTAGAAACCAGGTGGGAGGCTATTTCAGTTCCCCAGAGGCAAGTGGATCAAATTACCTGATTCAAAGTAGGAGCCAGAGAAAAGCTCCGCCCCACGACCAATCACGTATCAGCTGCTGGTCTTCTGGAAAACCAGGGCATAAATCAAAGGATTGTTACGCCCACAGAGAGCCTCCAGCCAATAGGAACTCTCACCAATTTGAACAAAGAGCTAACAAAGGAAGGAATGCAGCTTTTGGTCACAAGAGGGACAGAGCTACAGAAAGGCCAAAGAAAGAAATTAAACAGAGTGCATTTATAGCTTATGAAGTTACACCAAGCTACAAGAGAAATAAAGGCTTATGGATTATTGACAGTGGATGTTCACAGCATGCTGCCCATGACAAAGCATTTTTTAAAACTTTTGATTCAAGTACCAATGGGCAAATTAAAGTCGCTGATGGGAACTGTCTAGAGATTCAAGGAAAGGGATCTGGGACTTTGGTGTGTCCAGTATCAAATGCAATCTATGTGAATACAGTGAGGGAAGTGGTCTATGTTCCCAATCTCGAATGCAATTTGCTCAGTGTGTCAGCTCTTACAAAACAGGGTTTTCAAGTACATTTTGATGGTGAAAAGTGCATAGTTGAAAAGGACAATGAAATACATTTGCAAGCTTATGAATCTGATGGCATATATAAAGTCAGTCTCTTAGATGAACAGGTGCAAATCAACACATCGCAGACGGTGCAAGAAGAGGTGAGCAGCCTGGATCTGTGGCATCGCCGATTTGCACATAGAGA